CCTGCCTTCCCACTGAGGTCCCTCAGTCTGTTCCAAAATAAACTGATGAACAAAATAGATCCAGAGACATAGGAGCATGTTTTATCTTAATATAAAAACAGAAAAGAAAAGAGATAAAGTAACTATACTTTAGGTTCTTTGGCTAAATGCTACAGTGCCAAAGGATGATGATGTTCTTTATAAACTTGACTCTATCCTGTGCAAAGTTTTCTTCCACAATCAAACTTCCGCCTGGCTACAACTTTCCTTTTGGGAAACTAATGTTCCCAAAGGGAGACAATTAGAAACTTTGTAAGAATGACAGATGTGATGATAACTTGGTGTTCTGGAAACACAGCATTTTAAATACATCTTGTCATGGTAATAGGAAGAAAATATATGCATTCATTGCTTTTTATATACTTACTTGTTTTACTCATAGAAATAGTTTAAAAATCCTCACGTATTTATTCTGTGGAGATTCAAGTCATTGAAATCCCTTATTCCAAGAGTGACTGTGATTTCCTGATACTTATTCATGAGAATAATGCAATTGTGGTTTCATTTCCTTCAGTTAAGAGCATGTTATTTTAACTCTTTCTGGCCATAGGGAACTTATTACATTCCCTACTTAGTAGCTAGATAACCTACAACATTTGTAACTGTATATCTCTGTTTCTTCATCTATGAAATGGGACAAATGAAAAATAACTTAAATATTGAAAAAATTAAACGAGCTAAGTTAGCAAAAGTGCCAATTTCAGTGTTTGGCACAAAACAGGCATTCAGTAAGTAAAACCTTTCCTCAGCATCTCCCACATAAATAGAGAAACTAACAGTCATTTTCAAATCAAATATGGACTACATTTTTACATTAAATAGACAACCTTGACAGAACTCAGTGGGATGCAATGAAAATTTTAGACCAATCATAACATGTGATTTTCCATTTCTGTTCTTAATGGACAGATAACCAACACTTTCTGCTAAGCAGATGTTAGTTCTACATGCAGCCAATTTGCAGTTTTCTTTGTAGTTGTTGCTGTTATTGTAAGTGGAACAATATGCTGTTTAAAAACTTGTATAAAAACGTAATACCTCCTCAGATGGCAGGAGGAAATGAAAATAAAATATTAAACTTTTATATTTATATTACTACATTTTTAGAATTCCTAGCCATTCAAGAAGTAATGTCCAGAGGTTTCGTGGATACTTTGGATTTAAAATGGTTTCTCCACGTGCTCTACATATGGCAGATCACTTGGTTACAGGCCTTTGCACCCCACTCTTATATAGAAACAGTCTTGATTTTAAAAGTCCAAGGAAACTTTAAGTCTTTCTATACACCCATGTACAGAGGCTTTTGATATTTTTATGGAAAGGGTGATTAAGACTAAGAATAGTATATCAATGTTAGTTTTTTTAAAAAATATGATTTTACTGCCCGGCCGGGCGTGGCTCAGCGGTTGAGCATCGACCTAGGATCCAAGCAATCAGGGTTCGATTCCCAGTCAGGGCACATGCCTGGGTTGCAGGCTCGATCAATGACTCTCTCATCATTGATGTTTCTATCTCTCTCTCTCCCTCTCCTTTCCTCTCTCTGAAATTAATAAAGATATGTTTAAAAAAATAAATAAATAAAAATATATATGATTTTACCGATTTTTAGAGAGGAAAGGAAAGGGGGAGAGAGAGAGAAAGATCAATGTGAGAGAGAAACATTAAACATTGATCGCTGTCGCCTGTATGCACCACAACTGGGGGCTGAACCCGAAACCTAGGCATGTGCCCTGACTGGAAATCCAACCGGAGACCCTTTGGTGCACAGGATGACGCTCAGCCAACTAAGCCACACCAGCCAGGGCATCAATGTTAGTTGTTAATGATGATCATTAATGAAATAACTAGTTAACTTATATAGTATATAATCTCTTTACTACAGTTCAACTGTTCAGCTCTTCATTGTAGAGTTATTATCTTTTGTCAACGGCATGGTTACCCCATTAACAAAGTGTAAGAACTTAATGAGATTCAAGGTCTCACTGCAGTTCTGCAATTGTGCCCTAACAACTCCT